CTCCCCTCCCCTCCCCTCCCCTCCCTTCTCTTCCCTCCCCTTCCCTTCCCGTGCACATATACAAAGTTGGAGGAGTGATTGGGGGCACTCAAGTAATAACAGTAGATGGAAAGTAAGCAAGGATTGAGAGAAATACAACCAAGGTGAGGTAGGTGAATTCTTGCAGGGCAGTAAGAACATTCTATTCTACTGATGTGTAATGGGAACTGTGAGAAGAGCTTCTCTGGAATTAGTGACCTTGTCTGTCACCAAAACAATCTTTAAGGAATAGTCTTGAAGTGAGACCCATCTGTATGCTATTGTAGTAGATAAGGAGGGTTGATGTGTGGTAAGCAACAGTCAGATGCAGGACAGAATTCAAAGGAATGGCAAACTGGGTTTGCTGAGGGAATGGATGTGAGATTTGAATGAAAGAGCACAGGATGACTTCAAATTATTTTGAGGAAATTAGTGAACATACATATATTTTGCAGAGCTATTACACACTATTATAAAGATGAACTGAGAGCTAAGTAATTTCAGCCTATAGAAATGTTTATAAAAGAGAAATTGGGGGTTACCATTATCCAATTTGCAGTAGAAATAACTACATAATTCCTTTAAGTTGTAAGATCCTTCAGTGCAGTTAAAGTGTGATTCAATTACTATAAAATCCATTGAGAAAGAATTACTTAGGAACATAAGTAAAATCTACTTGCTTTAAGCATTTTGGGAGAACACTCAAATACATGCCCTCACCTACCATCTAAGGGACCCTCAATAGGCATCAGGTGCCATGCATAAATGTTGGCCTTAGGACAGGTTGCAGATGACCTTGGTACAACTGATATTAATACCCATTTTCTCTGTTAAACACTCTGGGTTTTGACAGAAAATTAAATGCTTACTCTATTCTTAAATCTAAAAACGAGGCTTAAATTATTAACCAAAGATACATTAATGAGGATTTTAGTCTAAAACAGGAATTACCAAGAAAATATCTCATATTGCACAATCTTTTCTGACCCCACCCCTCAAAAAAGGCAAGAGTATAACAAAGTTCTTCATCATGTGTTCCATGTATACCTCTGTATGGTTTTCACACTGGACCAGGTTCTGGGTATTCAGACATGGGTGTCCAGGACATTGTCTGCATCCATGATGCTTTCAGAATGTCCTCAAAATCACTGTTTTCAATCAGGTACCATTGTCTCTTCTGCAAGTAGATTTATTTCACTGAACATAAGGAAAAGACCGTTATTCCAAGCCTGGTAAATGCTTGCCTCTTGGAAACTCTATCTACAGGACTTTCTTAAGTATCATGAAGGTTAGCTTACTGCACTTTGAATGGTAAAAGACAATAAGTAAATAAAACAAATAATAAATTAGCTACTATCACTCTCACTGTCTACAAAGTCTGCACCCTTAGTGCTCAGTGAGTTTTCTACTTCTTCTTTTAACTATCTTCCTATTTCAGACGATGCCTTTTTAAAAGAACCTCAAAATATCTGAGTGTACATTTTCTTGATGCTTTGTTCTGAGCTATATTAATAATCTATGAAGGGCTCTCCGCCAGATCGCCGCCATCATGGACACGAGTCGCGTGCAACCCATCAAGCTGGCTAGGGTAACCAAAGTGCTGGGCAGGACCGGCTCGCAGGGTCAGTGCACACGGGTGCGTGTGGAATTTATGAATGACACCAGCCGCTCTATCATCCGAAACATCAAAGGCCCCATTGGAGAGGGTGATGTGCTCACCCTATTGGAATCAGAAAGAGAGGCTCGGAGGTTGCACTGACCTTGCTGCTGGATCCTGGATATCCAACACTTGTCCCATGATGACCTGCAACTATTAAATAAAGCAATTGTATTGTTTAAAAAAAAATAATCTATGAAGGACAACTTTCCTTTGCTTAACAATTTACAAAAGAAGTAGAGTGATGCATGCTACCCAAGACAAGATAATCATATTGTTGTCTCCACTACTCATATTACATATAATATAGTCATTATTATCATCACCAATGGTTTTAATAGTCATATGTTATGGGAAATAAATGAATGATTCCTTTTGTTTGGCCCTAAAGAGCTTAAAATGTTCAAATAGTCATTGCTCATTATATTTGATTGATTCTTTAATGTAAGGGAATTTAAAATTATAATTAAGGCTTACAAAAGGTCTCATTTTTAGACAAGTAATATTACTTGACATTTTGTCTTTCAGCATGGGATTTGAGGGGAGTTTATAAATATTACCTAGATAAACTTCATAAAACCCCTCTCAAGTTATAGGTATAAAACTAATTCACAGGTTGTTAATAAAGAAAAAAAAGTGTTCATCAAAATTAAATGATCTTCCTCCAGTCACAAATGACTCTTGTACTTGACTGTTGTCTTAGCCAGGGTTTCTATTGCTGTGATAAAACACCATGATCAGGAGCAATTTGGGGAGGAAAGGGTTTGCTTCAGTTTGCAAATCTCAGATTGTACCTGGTCACCGAGGGAAACTGGGGAAGGAACTCAAGGCAGGAACACAGTGGTAAGAGTAGGTGCAGAGGCCACAGGTGAATCCTGCTACTGGCTTGTTTCTAATGGCTCATTCAGTCTACTTTCTTACAGCATCCAAGACAGCCCTCTTCGAGCTGACACAGATCATAAGTGAGATGGGCCCTCCCACATCTACCATCAATCAAGAAAATCATTACAGGATTGCCCACAGGGCAGTCTGTTGGGGGCATTTTCTCAATTGAGATCCCCTCTTCCACAATGACTCTATCTTATGTCAAGTTGACATGAAATTTGCCAGCACAGCTATTTGGTGAATATTGCAGCAGAATTTGCCACAATGCAGTATCTTATGGCATGACGTTTCTCTCACCATAAAAAAGCAAAGTAGACTGTATTCTAACAACTTCATGTTTCAGGTTCGATTAGTAAGGCTAACAAAATTTAAAGCCCTTTCCTTTAATAATCATTAATGCATGAAAATATTTTTTCTACCTTTATAAAAGAAGACACATAGGTAATAGGAGGGTCATTTAATTCTAAATTGTGGTCATTTAACAAAACTATGTTTTAATGTGAAGAAGTTTTGTTTTATTTTATTTCATTTTACTCTTAAGCTAATAAGAAACTGATACAATGTTGATTCTTATTTTCTATAATAAAGGTTCTAACATGCTATATAATCTCATTTTAATGACTAAATTTCATTCACAGTAAGAACCGAAAGATGCAGAAACTCTAGAATGAATCTGTTTCAAGTATTTTGAGATACATACATACATATATTAAGACATAAGCTCTAATTTAGTTCATTTCAAATATGGCTTGCATACTCAATTGTCTACAGAACAGAATATTCTTGTCTATCTTTAAAGGATTCTTTTTGACAATATGTCAACTCAGTCCAAGTAAATTGCTTCTGTGTTATGTATGTCCCACAATACAAGTAGCAGAGGCTATGATTGCAATGGCGCCATTGACTGTGGAATTTCCTTTTTCCTTACACTTTCCTAATGTTGTCCTATTTTTCCTACCTTTCCCTTCTTTCACTGCATCATCCTTTCTGTCTCCTCCTGATCTGGAAGACTCTTTCCTCTCTCCTACACCAAATTCCAGCACTTCCTCTACCTTTCTAAACCACCAAGAGCCTTCTAGTTTCTTGGTACTTTGTGAATGCTCAGAGAATACATATCTACATCATTGCTTTATGAAGAATCCTAAATGCAATCTGAACAGATTCTCCTGCAAAGTTTATGTCAATCCTGTCCAGTCTTGTTTCATTACCCAACTCTTTCCTAGCCCTCAGAATTCCCCAGAGGCATCACTTCTGCCAGCTCACTGAGAGTACATGATTCCCTAGGTGGCTTCACACTAGGTCATTTACATGTCCTTGTACAGGTTAGGTTCCTCTTTCTTAACTCCTCTTCTATGTTTTGAGACAAATGTGCAATATCAAAGCACAGAGACATTTCAAACACTCAGAAAGTTGAAGCAGAATCCCTGGGGACATAAATATTACCAAAGAAGTTGGGGGAATGAGGAGAATTTAGTTCACATCACAGGTGCTCAACATTCTCAAAGATGTCCTTAACATGTCTTCATGGAAATAAGAGAACATTATACTATAGGAAATAGGAATTATGGACATTGGTTGGTTGAATGAAGATGAGAGAAAAAATAAAATACTCAGTGCATAATTATGTAATGTTTGCCTTACATGGGAAGTGATTTACATTTATGATAACTTTCTCATTTGGGGGAGGAGGGCACAAAATGATATAGCATACTAGAACACATACTTTATGAAAAGTAGGGCCTTTCAGGAAAAAATAGGATCCCATTGAGGTGCTTCATCAGGAAGCAGATGAGGGGGTACAGGAGCTTACAGGGTCTTGAAGTAACAAAGGGATTATTGGAGAGATTCCTAGTTCTCAGGGTAAATTGGAATCAAAGCTGGAGGTAAGCCAGGCCGATGTTGTATGCTTTTAAAGTATATGTAAATTAGTTTGTATTTCTGTATCAAGAAGGAGAACATTCAACTGCCAATGGCCTTAAGAATGCGGGAACCTGCTTTGCTTCCAATAGCGGTACTGATCCAGCAGGTCTATATCAAGCAACAACTGAGAGGCTGTGTTGACTGCACTGAGCCACAAATGTTGAGAATAAGGCCTGCTTTAAGAGCTACCACATGAAATTTAAAAAAAAAATGAGAGAGGGAACCTGATTGCTCCACTTGGAAAGGCTAGCTGATCACAAAGAGGAAAATAACACCATACACAATCACAGGATCATATAACAAAAATATCCTTTGTCGGATGACTTATGTCTTCATGCACAGGAATATGATATCTTGTGTAGTAATACATCCAAATATGGCATGAAAGTGGGTACAAGAAATCTCTGTCGTATATTTCACTGATGTGATGTTAGCATGGAAAAGATCTGTGATGTCCATGCAGAAGTGAAACATGTGGAAATCAGTGATCAAACTGGTATCTTCTGCCTTTTAGATGTGTATATTTTAAAAACTACAGTTATAAACAAAGTTTGTGGGGATCCTCAATGGACTTATGATTGGAGATTTCTCTATCATTAATATTCCCAAATGATTCACAGTTATGACTCTGAAAGCAAGGATTTCAATCCAGAAGTCTATCACAAATCTACCACCAGTCAGACTATTGCAGGGTAGATGAGATGCCTGAGAGTGAAAGAGGCTATGCTTATAAATTATTTTCCTGGCTCTATGAAAACATATAATTATAGACAAGATCGAGGGGGTATATATGAAATATATGAAAGAATCCACCCATGAGAAGAACATAAAGAGAGAACTTTAAAAAAGGAGATGGTGTTGTTACAAATTTTCTTTGCCCAGATGAAAGATGAGGTATTACAGAGGAAGGCAAGCTCTGTCAAATCTCAGGGTTCCACACCTGAGAGACAAACCAAAGGATGACTTTCTATGAAGGTATGTTTTAGACAGTAAGTGTTTTTCATGACAATTTTTTGAAAGAAAGGGAAAAATAGAGAAATGATAAAAACTGTTTGAATGTTTCTTTATATATATATATATATATATATATATATATATATATATATATATATATATATATCAAGGAATACACACACACACACACACACACACACACACATATTTATTTCCTCTTAAAGAATTCACTAAGAGCTTCACAAAATTATTCTGTATCTCTTTAATGAATCCCCAAAGGACTTAAGAATGATTTTCTTCTATGCTTGGGCTTGGGAGCTGTGGAATAGTGTCCCTCAGAAGTCCCCCTTCAACTCTCCTGGGTTTCACTAGCTTTCCTCTATTGGGCCACCTGAGCATTTTTCTCATAACATAATCCTCTTCCCTTCAGATGCTTTTCCCAACTGGCTAGATGCAAGGCTCGGGGTCATCTATGATTTATCTTGTATCCAAACTGTAATCTCTGCCCATACTTCCTCCCAAATATAACCACTTCTTCCTGCAGACACCAGTCTCCGGAGAGATAGGTCACCCTGTGCCTGGATGGCTGTCATCTCTCTCAGGTTTCCTATCACTGCTTTCTTTGCTACAAATGAACCATTGCATTTCGTATTAAAGCAGTTTGTTCATTGTTATCTTATTCAAATTTTCCATGACAACAGTGACAAAATTCTCGATCAAAGTATTTGAAGCAAAGTTTTTAAACTAGGAAGACTTCTGAGGTTTTTGTAAAGGGGAATTGAGGTACACACGTGGTTTAAAGGTATTTAAAAGATCCCATGAAAATTCTGCTTTCCTTCTCTATGTCTGAAGCATGATTCTCAGACCAGCCATTCCCTGGGTGGTAACACATTGATGCTAACATCTACTAATTCCCATGATTTCTGCCAGTCCAGCTCCAACAGAAATGGAAATCCTATTTCTGATAATTTCACACAATCCCGGCATGTATCCTCTAATCCTGCTTGGTTTAATTACACAGAAAAACAACTGTAACAAGAACAAAGACAACCCACAAAATGTTCAATGGAAGCCACATATATGCTGTCTATTCAATCTAAGGAGTATCAATTTTTCCTCCTTAACACCATTGACTCAATTGAATAGATGGGATGCTTTCACACAGGAATGAAGAAAACACCCATGAAAGCCTTCTAGAGAGAATCTAACAAATATCAATTTTAATACATCCAACATACTCCTCAAAGGCTGCAATGCTTCCTATTATCATGGACTTAATTAAGTACTGCATGATTATTCACAGTTTTCCAATTTTAACTGAAAATCACTCTGACCCTTTTCAAACCCAACCAACGTCTGAGAAACC